TTATTCCCATCTTTCTGGTTGGGCCGTCACTGATGAATAGATAGATATGAGGGTCCAGAGGGGGGTGGTGAGGGCAACTGTTTATAGTTCCTTTAAACTCTTCCTGATCTAAAAGCACGCTTAACAAGGAACTGCTTTTTGGCTTTTTTGGAACTGCTTTTTTAAATGGTCAGAATTTATTGTTGAAATTCAAACAGAGCAGAGATATATAACATAAAAAGCAAAAGTTCCCTTTGATTTCCTTGCCTCAATCTCACCCCCCAAGGAGTGAGCTAATCTATGGCGTGATGCATCCTTCCTGATGTTTTTCTGGGGAGACCCTCACACACTCAAGAATTTGTCCTTTTCAAAAAAAAATACCAAAAAAATGGGATCATCTAGTTCTTACAGAGCTTTCTGCAGAGTATTTGCCTTCCCTCATTGATTTGCCTGTAGTGAGAGCAAGCATTGGTCATAAAGACACAGATTTCAAGAGCTCTACACTTTGTGACAGTTATTTCTCATTAGAAATTAATTGACTGGTGTATAGACCAGTGCTTGAGTGTTTACCACACTCAGTGTGAAACAGTTGGGGTTCTGAGCCATCAGGGCCTCTCTACACTTTGGAGGCAATCTGGGAGGCTTCCCAGGCAGTAGCTTGCCAGCCTTTTCTCTGATGTACATGTTTGCCTCTCTTTATTCTTGCCCTTGCCAATGACTGTGAGCATGAGCCTTGTTAATATTTCTTCTGGGCCCTACTGGCCCGTGGGGAAGAATCTCTGCTTTATCAAAATTTATATACGGCCAGCATAATAGTGAAATTGCCTTCTTAGTTCCTTGAGCTCCTTCCCATGCTCTTAGATAGGTTTTCTAGGTACTCAGAAATGAATATGAAAAATTGACGACAGTGTTTATATTCAGGCGGTGGTTGCAGGAATCCAGCAGGCTCATGCGGAACAGTTGGCCAACATGCGAATCCAGGATCCGAAAGTCAGCCTCAAACCCTTGCACTCTGTGAACAACCCCATTCTGAGGAAGAGGAAATTACTCGGGTAACTGAGCTTATTTCATTTATTCTCGTTCATGGTTGGGTGGCCCATTTTCTGCCTTTTAAAAAAAATATATATTTTTATTGATTTCAGAGAGGAAGGGAGAGGGAGAGAGAGAGAGAAACATCAATGATGAGAGAGAATCATTGATAGCTGCCTCCTGCATGCCCCCCACTGGAGATTGAGCCCACATCCCGGGCATGTGCCCTGACCAGGAATCAAACTGTGACTTCCTGGTTCATAGGTTGATGGTTAACCAGTGAGCTGCCTCTTAAGAGGGTGGGAAGAATAAGCTGTTGAAATAGCATCAAAAGTTGGAGATGCTCTATTGTTAATTTTATGAAAAATCTGTCGCTTTATGTTTAGAGTTAACATCCGTTGAGTGTTAGGTTTTTGGGTCTTACCTTGTTATTATCTCTCCCCCAAACTTTTAAAGCACCAGGCCAAAGGATGGTGTGTATATCCACGATCGTGAGAATGGAACCGAGGATTCAAATGTTGCCTTGGAAAAGCTCCGTGATGTGATTGCTCAGTGTATTCTCCCCCAGGCTGGTAAAGGTCACACCATTTACAAATGCTGTGTGTGTGTGTGTGTGTGTGTACATGTGCATACGTGCACATGACAAAAGGAGTGGTTTAATTTGAGGTTGTCTGTTTCATCTTTGTGTATAAGAAAGTAAGTACATTATATAAATCAGTCTTTACCCATTCAAAAGAGTAGATGATGGGTTAAGGGTAAATTCTACCCTTCCTTTCTTTTTTTGTGACATTTGTAATTTAGGTTTAATTGCCAGTGCCAGGTGCAGCATGTAATTTTATATTTTCTCGGTTTATTAATGAGGGCATGTGATGGAGAATGGAGAATGTGGACAGGGTCAAGTTCAGTTTTGAAAAGGTCAGGAGACGTCATTTCCAGAGCCGTTAGAGTTCAAGGCTTTATTAACTTGTGAATATAAAGAGAATACGCCCCCAGGTCAGAAGTGGACTCTACTGCTACTCATGTGATGGGCAAAGTGTGACTTACATGTGGATTCTTTTGAGTGAGAGTTTGCTTTCAATATGTTCTTTCCCCACTCAGTGGGGTGTAATGGGCTTTTCTCAGCAGATGAAAGAGATCCTTCAAATAGTAGGCCAGAAAACTGTTGGGTTGACCTGTCTTCCTACTTCTGGCATTTTCAGGGAACTCATATTTAGTGTACCTCCAATAGCCTTCCAGAGTAAGAAATGAGCTTAGGAGAAAGAAGGTAGCCCGCTCAGCTTTGTTCTTCCTCTATCTCTTGGTCCATTAGGTTAACCAGAGACCTAAGCTGTTTTTGCTCAGCAATAGTCTGACACTGCCTATTCCCATCCCCCAGTGCGAAGACTCTGGGGCCATCAGAGGATTTGTGTGAGGCTGTCCCAGTAAACGAGTTCAAAGACCAGAAGTGGTTTATATATCATGTAGACATTAGCAGGAACAGCAGTGGCTGGTGAAGTTTGTACCTTTAGTCATCACTTTTCAACAAATTGAACATCATGTCCTTCCATCTCTGACACTAAAATCCCATAATGCTGCAGGGAAATGCAACTTCTTCATCTTTATCAATAGGTGAGAATGAAGATGAAAAGCTGAATGAAGTAATGCAAGAGGCTTGGAAGTATAACCGGGAATGCAAACTCCTGAGAGATACTCTGCAAAGCTTCAGCTGGAATGGTAGGAGCCTTAATTACTTCTTTCCCCAGGAATACAATGAAGTGATTGTTTAGAACGGGTAGGAATCTCTGCAGGCCTACCTGGAGCTATTTTTTTATTGTTGTTAATTCTCACCGGAAGATATTTTTCCATTGATTATTTTAGAGAGTTTGGGAGAGAAGGGGAGAGACAGAAACATCGATGTAAGAGAGACACATAGATTGGTTGCCTCCCTCACACTCGAGCCTGTAGCCAAGATACATGCCCTTGACTGGAATCAAACCTGGGACCCTTCAATTTGGGGGCCAACACTCTATCCACTGAGCCAAACCAGCTAGAGCCTGGCTTGGTTCTTGGACAAGAGAAATCCAGTGATAGCCTGGAAGAAATTAGCTTCCCTGGTATGTTTTTTTAAAAAAGATTTTGAAATATCAATACAGAAAAGTGATCACATTTGAAATGTGTACTGTTGATGAATTTTTACAAAGTGAACATTCCCTGTAACTAGCCCCTGGAGCATTAGTGGAACATGGACTCTCTTCTAGTCACTACCTCTCACCCCCAAGGGTTATCACAATCCTGATTGCTAGCACTATTGATTTATATTTTATATAAATGGAATCACACATGTCTGTGTTCTTTTGTGTCTGGCTTCTTTTAGTTAACATTATATTTGTGAGATTCAGCCTTGTGTGTAGCAGCAGATCATTCTCATTCTCTCTCTCTCTATATATATATATATTCTCAATATATATTTCTCAATATATATATATCTCTCTCTCTCCACACACACGGATGGGCAAAAGTAGGTTTACAGTTGTTAGTATGCAAAAGTTTATTCTTTTATTATTTATTGATTGTATTATGTATTTGTATCCTTACTTCTGATAGTGGTGGCTGGTAATTTAACCTACTTTTGCCCACCCTTGTGTGTGTGTGTGTGTGTGTGTGTGTGTGTGTGTGTGTGTATGTGTGTAGATAGGTAGTCTACTGTTGGACATTTTGAGTTATTTCCAAGTTTTGGTAATTAAGAAAAGGGCTGCTATGAATGCTCTTGTGTGTTATCTTTTGAAGAATGTTTTGCTGAACTAATTTCTCTTACCTCTTAGATATCTAGGATTGAATTGCTGGTTCATGGAGGTATTCATCTGTTTGGCTTTAGTGGGTACTGCTAAGAGTTTTCCAACGTGGTTATTCTGGTTGATACTTCCACTAGTAGTGTTTGAGGGTTAACTTACCCTGCTTCCACATCAACTCTCGTCTATCTTTCTATTTATTTTAGTCATGCTGGATAGATTATAGTGGTATTACTATGTCATTTTACTTTGCCTTTCCCTAATGAACTTTAGCACTTTAAAGATGTTCAGTGGCCATTTAGATTTCCTCTTTTGTGAAGTACCTATTCTTTTGCTAGTTTTTCTGTTGAGTTATATCTTTCTTATAGATGTATGAGTTCTTTATATATTCTTGATACGAGTCCTTTGTCAAACATATATATTACAAAGATCTTTCTCTTCATAGTTTCCTTGTTTGCTGTTGTACTGAACATTGGAGTTTTACTGCCAGGTTAATGGCACTGCGTAATTGCTACTTGCAAAATGGGGGGTCTGAACTGCTTTTGATCGGTGTTGGGGATGGTTCCTCCATTGTGAAGGTGAATTGGACACTGGTAAGGTGTACCTTACTGGGTTCCTGTCAAGAACCTATCTCCTCCCAAACAGTTTGGAGATTGATCTTTTTCTTTCTTGCTTTCAGGTCGTGGATTCACAGATAAAGTAGATCGACTAAAACTGGCAGAAATTGTGAAGCAAGTGATAGAGGAACAAACCACATCCCATGAATCCCAATAATGATAGCTTCAGACTTTGTTTTTTTATAATCTGAAAAACTATTCTTTAATGTATAAAGTAATTTTTATGTAAATTAATAAATCATTTCATTTTCACATTGCTTAAAGATGCTGTATAGATTTAGATAATGGTATTTACTAATAGTATAGTTCATTTGTTTGTTTTTAAGAAAAGCTTAGCTCCTAGAAATATACATTATTTTAGGACTCCTTAGTCTTGTTTGTAAAATGACAGATATTATATCAAGCAAGATTGTTTTATTTGTAATAAAGTATATAAAAACCACTTGTCAGCGGTAGACAAAGGACCAACTATACTGATCTTTCTGCTTAGTAAACAGTTGAATCAAATACTGTGGAATTTGGTTTTAATTGCCCTGTGTATTTACTCTCTGCACTATTGGTAGATTAGCCCTGATGCCAAGAAATGTTTGTGGATCCATGTTGCAGACTGTCTGCTGAAATTCACAAGATGTTGGCTCCCATGATGGGAGAAGCAGGGAGCTGAGCCTTCATTTTGTTGTCCCTAATTCCTAAGAGAAAAGTGGTAACACTTTTGTTTTTATTGGCCATATTTGTTAAAAGGAATTGGTGTGATTCTTAAATCTAATGGATTATCTTTTGAGTTTATTCTTTTTATGTTTAATCAAAATTTCAGTTTCCTTTCCCCTGAGACCCTACTTTTCCTCTCTCCTTCCTGGCAGCCCTCACCAGCTCCATTGCTTCCTATGTCCTTTCCCTGTTCTTCTGGCCCACTTAGGGAGTGGTTTTTCTGAGAAAGTAACATTTTATGAAAAGTGGACTTTTGGATTAGCATCTAATAGGGTCCAGGTTTTTTTTCCTCTTAAAGCTGCCCTTTTTTTCTGTAACGTTTCTGCCTAGGTTTCATGTCGGCATCCTCTGGGCTGCAATTATTTTGTTCTGCCGCCTTCATTCTTGGGAAGCATGCTTCTGGCCAAGTTCAACTGTTTGAACGGAAATCAAGGCTGGATGTTTTTCTGTTTGTTTGTTTGTTTTTTTGTTGTACAAATGGACTTCCATAACAAATCATGTTTAAAAAATTTTTTTTTAGAAGTTAGGCTATGTTCCTAAGAAGAGCTAGCTAATAGACAAACTCCAATTCGCAGAGCAGAGGGAAAGGATCGGTAGGCTCAGATATTTAGTTTTATTCTGTCACATTCTCTTCAATCAAAATCTACCCCACAGAGCTAACTCATTTTGCTGAGAATGTCATCTAGGTGACATTTGGTTAGTATGGCCTATATAAGTATGTAACTGTGCAAATATATTATAATAATACAAAGTATCTTTTAAGAATTACCTTTTTACATTGGTTCCCTTTTATTTTGGAGAATTTGTAGTTCAGGTATTTTTTTAGGTAAGACTCACTAATATTAGGTGAATGGATACCCTGTAAGGAGTATTCAGTACTTTTAAACATGGCAAAATTTAAGAATTAGGCAGCAGGGAAATGTTTTATTTGCTGACCATAAAACTTAGCTAAAAGTTGAATTAAGGGTTGAATTATATTCTATTTTTCAGTGAAATGCAGTCTTACAAATCATTTCTTGTAATCAGGAAAAACTGCACTTGTTTCTCGAACAACTGACTACCTGTTGTTTTTCTTACCTTAGGGCACAGGTTCAGTATTCACTAGGGATACTTTGCTACTCTTCTTTTTCTTCAGAGTAACTTTCTAGCATGCCCAGTCTACTATGAACTTCTCAAATTTGTTGTTTATGTGTCTTCTAATGGCTCAGGATGATTTTTTTTCCTTTCAGGGTGTGGTGAATTTTGGGCATGATCTAAAAGGGTATCCCAAATGATGCGTTCCGTTTAGTTTGAGCAGCAGTTGCCCATGTATCAGTTGTTTCAGGGTAAATTAATCTGGCCCCCAAATGTGCACTGTCTCCAGACATATCCAGATGAGCCCCAAGCTGGAAGTTTGTGAATACCCTGGATGCGAAGGCTATCGTAACTCAACAGTGGGTCCTATCCTGGACAGAGCTCCACTGTTTGGTATTCAAAGTTTTCTCTGTGGAGAGAGTTTGTAGGCCAGTAGCAAGTACTGCCGTAACATACCAGTCACGTTCACTGATAAAGCAAAATTTGTAACTGAAAGTGAGACAAAAATTGTCCTTGTCTCTTCTGGCCTGTCTCTCTGATGCCCCTAAACTTACAGAAAGTTCATATTGTCAGAAAAGTTTTTGTAGGCAGAAGGTTAGTCTCTAGTTTTGCCACATGATTTGCTAACCTCTGCTTACTAAAACCATTACTTATCACTCAAATACCTCTAGACATTACCATAGTTATAACTCTGCTTGATGTAAAACAACTTGTATATCTTCCTGGCTAACATATTGTATAAGCATAGGAGATTATCTGCCAGAAATTTATTGTTTGAAACATAGAACTTCCTCTTGAACAGTTTTGTTCTTGTATTTATTTGAGAAAGAACAAGTTGAAGAAATTATTAGTTAAAGAAGAAGTCAAATGATTTAAATCAGACCTTGTGTATGAATGCTTACGTGTGTGTTATTTATTGAAGAAAATGTGTTTCAATTTGGGAACTGGAAAATTGGATATTTAATTTTAATTATATTTTTATTTATTTAAAAAGTAGAGGTTTTCTTTCATTATTGATTTAATTATTTCATCCCATAAAATGACTTAACCTAATTTGCCCTGCCTATTTTGGTTAAGACACAGGGAAGCACCTTAAATCTGATAATTTCTAAATTACATAATTTTAAGAGGCGTTCTTTCCACTTATATGAACTACAAAGAAAAAAGAAATCCAGCTAGAAATCATTTCACCTTTTTGCTGTAAAATTTTAAAATAGGTTTGTGACATGACAGTATAAATTTTCTTGCTAGATGCTAATGATAAATTTTATCATCTATATGAGGACTTAAATATTACTTGGGGATAGTTAATGAGTTGATCTGCTCATTCTCATATTTGAGATCTTGTGGTATCATATCATTCTGAGATAGGGTAGTTTCCCATTTTTGTGTGTGTGTTAAACTTGTACTCAACCCTTATTTTATATTGTAAATATTTGACTTAATATAAATTATTTTTATGCAAAGTAAAGGATCTAGAGTTTTATTTAACTTCCTCTTAGTATGCACAGGAAAATAACTGGACAAGGATTGTGGATAGGGCTTTTCCCTGCCTTTTTACCTTTTAAATTTGTTCGGTTGAATACACCAGGTTATTAAGATAAAACCCGTGGACTTGTACAGAGATTAGAGTTTAATTTTAGTTACAAAAGTGAAGAAATCTTTTCAAAGGTCTTAGAGAGTTCACTTTTATTTTCTTGATGAAATGGCATCTAGGTAGCTGGTTAATAATCAGCTTGTTTTTATGTTGGGACAGTTGAGAAGAAATGAACTTTGATCCCAGTCACTTAAACTACCTCCATGGTGAAATTGAACTCATTTCATTTAATACTTAATATGTCTCTATGTTAGGAAAACTTCTTAGAAGATAACAGTTATGTTTATATTTAGATATAAAATGTCTAACTTCATCTTTTATGAACAAAGGCTAAGGAGGGAGAATTTGTGAATCTGCATGTGATTTTTTTTTAATTAAAGGCAAAAAAATGATACTGACAGTGAAGGGCTGGACTGAGAAACAGTACCCTGTATTACAACAGAAATGAGGAAAAGAGGTAGTGGGCAACAGAGAACTTTGTCCTGCTCATAGATCCCCCAAGAATCCCTGTCCCCTTCCCCCAAACCTCCTGCCAGAATGTTGGGTTTCAAAGAATGAGCAGATTAACGGATATCAGGGAGTTCTGTGGCCTGGACTGAGGATAAGGATAATTTGTCAGAGTTAAAGTACTGGCTGAATCATTACAGACTTTCTACTTGGTATATGTCTCTGTGAGGATAAAGAGAACTTAGACAAGGAGCATTAAAGCTGTTGCTGTTTGAACGAAGTCATACAGTAAGGCAACAACTGAAGATCAAGAGGGAAGCAAGAGTATAAAGACAGCCTCAAATTTGTAAGACCGAGTTGGGAAGCAGTCATCCATAAGGAAGCCAGATTAGATCTCAGTCTCCAAGGTTCAGCATGCCAAGGAAAGCTGCTGCTGATGGACACAAGCCCTGCCTCATCAACTGATTCACTAGGGCCATGTCAGTGGCCACCTCTATGAGAGATTCTGCCTCTATACGGCCTTCTCTGTGGAAAAACCAAGTGGCCTTGAAAACGGGTAAGATCAAGTTTCAGACTTGGGCTCAGCAGAAGAGGGACTTAAGGCTGGGGCCAGTGACAGGATCTTCATGTATCCGTTTGGGAATTGTGATACTGTTGGTGGTTTTCCTGCCAAGTATGTACTGTGACCTGGGATCAGTATATTATACTTCCTATGAAATAATTATTCCCAAGGGGCTGATACTTCAGGAAAGGGATGGCCAAGAGAAAAATACATCCTACATGATATTTATGCAGGGCCAGAAACAGCTGATTCACCTGAACGTGAAGACAAACTATTTTATCAAGAACTTTCCAGTCTTCAGCTACCACAATGGCATTCTGGGACAAGAAATGCCTTCCATCTCACATGACTGTCACTATGAAGGCTACATCGAAGGACTCCCGGGTTCTTTCGTTTCTGTCAACACCTGTTCAGGCCTCAGGGGCATCCTGATTAAGAAGGGAAAATCCTATGGCATCGAGCCCATGGGCTCTTCAAGACAGTTTGAACATGTGCTGTACACCATGGCCCATCAAGCTCCAGTCTCCTGCAGTGTCACTTCCAAAGACAGCCCAGTGGTGTCCACCAGCCGGCAACAAGGGAGCAGGAAGCGGGGCGGTCTACAGGAGCTGTCCTACTTGTGGTCACTCACCAAGTATGTGGAGATGTTTGTTGTGGTCAACAACCAGCGGTTCCAAATGTGGGGCAGTAACGTCAATGAGACGGTCCAGAGAGTGATGCACATCATTGCCCTGGCCAACAGCTTCACTAGGGGAATAAACACACAGGTGGTGCTGGCTGGAATGGAGATTTGGACCGAGGGGGACCTCATAGAGGTCCCAGTGGACCTGCAAGTTACACTCGGGAATTTCAACAGCTGGAGACAAGAGAAGCTCCTCCATCGTGTGAAGCATGATGTTGCCCACATGATTGTCGGACAGCATCCTGCACAGGGTATGGGACAGGCATTTCTCAACGGTGCCTGTTCACGTGGTTTTGCAGCAGCTGTTGAATCCTTCCATCATGAAGATGTCCTGCTGTCTGCAGCGCTCATGGTCCATGAGCTTGGGCACAACTTGGGTATTCGGCACGACCACTCAGCCTGCATTTGTAAAGACAAACCCCTCTGCCTCATGCGTGACAATATCACTACAGAAAGTGGCTTCAGCAACTGTAGCTCTGACGACTTCTACCAGTTCCTCCAGGAGCACAGAGGGGCCTGCCTATTTAACAACCCTCAGCAGCACAAAGGCCGCTTGCGTAGGGGTTCCTACTGTGGAAACGGTGTGGTGGAGGGTGAGGAGCAGTGTGACTGTGGTTCTGCCTGTTACACCGACCCGTGCTGTGACCAAACATGTCGCCTGAAGGGGAGTGCAGAATGTAGTGATGGACTCTGCTGTTTTGGTTGCCGATTGAAGAATAAGGGGTTCATGTGCCGTTCTGCTTTGGGAGAGTGTGACCTCCCAGAGTATTGTGATGGCACCTCTGCAGAGTGCCCCACAGACACCTATAAGCAAGATGGGACGTCGTGCGGTAGACTGCACTACTGTGTTGGGGGTCTGTGCAGAAACCCTGATAATCAATGCATGGCTATGTATGGGTACACTGCACGGTCAGCCCCAGAAAACTGTTACATTTCAATGAACAGCAAAGGGGACCGGTTTGGAAACTGTGGCCGTCCCACCTCGGCAATGTCAAGATATGTTAAGTGTTTTGATGATAATGTATTTTGTGGGAAAATTATATGTACAAATATTAGACGGGCCCCATCCATCATCCCAGCCATCAAACCCCATCACACACTGATCCAGATTCCTTATGAAGGTGACTTCTGCTGGAGCTTGGATGTCTATAACATTACTGATATCCCTGATGAGGGAGATGTGCACTCTGGCACTGCTTGTGCCCCAAACAAAGTCTGCATGAATTACTCCTGCACTGATCATGCTGTGCTCAACTATGACTGCAGACCAGCAGAAATGTGCAATGGGAGAGGAGTCTGTAACAATGTAAGGCACTGCCACTGTGAGGCTGGCTATGCACCCCCCGACTGCAGAACTCCAGGAAATGGGGGGAGTGTGGACAGTGGTTCCCCTGCTAAACCAACTGATGAAAATCTAAGTAAAGGTGAAGGTGGCAGTCCTGCTAAACTTAGGAATGAATTTCAAAATCTTGGTGTTATAGTTTTCATACTCCCTTCATTTCTTTTACTATTATTGGTATTATTAATATGTTGCATTAGTCTTAATGCTGGAATTGAGTCAGTAGAGACCCCAGGGGCCTCAACAACATTGAGTTCAGAGCATACCATTGTTGAATCAGAGATTATCCCATCAGAGGAGGCAATCAGAGAGGAAGGCCTCCCACCAGAAGAAGCCTCCCCACCAGTGGAGCCCCCGCCACCAGAGGAGCCACCACCACCGGAGGAGCCTCCCCCACCGGAGGAGCCTCCCCCACCGGAGGAGCCTCCCCCACCAGAGGAGCCCCCGCCACCAGAGGAGCCACCACCACCTGAGGAGCCTCCCCCACCAGAGGAGCCCCCTCCACCAGAGTCATAAGTGATGGTAGCAATGGAAGCACAGAAATAACCAAAAGTAGAAGAGTAGTTGAGGAAGAAGCCAAAGAATATCAAATACCTCAAGTACTGAGTAGGAATGGAAGGCTTAGAAAGGCAAAGACAAAGTGAGAATTGATGGCTCTAGTAGTGCTGATGGGACTGTATAATCTACAGAAATACTATGTAGGAAGAGAACTCCTGCTTTCAATATTTACTTTAGTAATTTGATATATATTCATATATGAAATCGTACATGAAATATTCTGTATTTTTGCTTTTCCCCATTTCATGAAACTAAGTTTTTCTCATGGATCACTGCTAGTTGTTTCATGTAGGCCACTTTTTGATCTGAAATTTTTTTCACGGCATACCATCTTCCATCTGCATTGTTTGACATAATGTGTTATCTGTACCTATATTACTGGATTATTCAAACCAGTGACAACAATGCATTATTTTAGGAACATTATCTATTGAGTACTTTGATTTGCACTAACCGTTTCTATTCCTGAAAGAGATAATTTAAAATAAAGAAATAAGTAAATAAATACAAGGTTATTTGCAGATTAAGCATCATTTCAGACTCCATGCAGCCTAGTACTTGGGGTTTCTTTAATTTGGGCTTTCTGGAAGGGGTTATATCTGATCCAGGGTGGTCTGATCACCCTGGGTCTGGGATAATTGAGGTAAGTGCTGAGATAATATTTGAGGTATTTGTTTTTTCCTTAAATTCTATATTGAAGTTGATATTTTGTCTATTAACAACTCATAGGAATGTTTCCGTGTGGTAGTTATTTGCTAAGACAGCACAAAGTATATGCAATCATATTACCCATCCTGGGCAAGACACTATGCTAGATAGACACTTTGCATTTGTTGTCTTAATAAATCCTCTCATTCACCCTATGAGGCCTTCATCTTGTACACAAGGAAACAGAGACCAAAGAGCTAGTACGGGGTGGGGCCAGCATCCCACCCCAGTATGACTGAAAGTACGTTCTTCACTGTCTCATGAGCTTTTGCTTCAGTAAAGAAAAGAAGAAAGTGACCAGGGAGACATTTGATATATTTTTGCTTGCCCAGAACATGGCTTCTTATTTGGTGACACAATGAAACAAAAGCCACACCGTGTAGTCATTATCAGTGAAAGTGTCCTTTCCCCATTCCATTCTGACATCACGGCACAGCAGGTTTGTATCTTGTTCCGCTCTGAGGGCCCCGCTCATTGTAAGTGCTCAGTAAATGTTGACTACGTGAAGGATTTAACCAGAGCCAACCATAGGATAGGAAAGTGATCACTTTGGATGCCACTTGCTAGGTCTAGACATGACACAGCCAAAACCTTGCTCAGGTGCAGTGTTGCTACAGGTTGAATTTCAGAGAAGTTCCTTAGCATCAGTCCCTGATGATCCATATGCTGAGTCCCTCTTCTAACTGCCCACCCTATGTGAGCAGATACGAGCAAACAAAAGAATAAGACCTGGTTTCTGCTTTTAAGAAGCTTATGTTAATTATTTTGGTGTAACAATCCTAAACATCAGAGCAAAATCCAAAATCAAGCCTTCAGTTATATAAGTTTTCAAGTCACAAGATCTGCTGGTAACCAAATCTCAGAATGTTGTATGCCAGAGATCAAGATTCATGGGAAAAACATGCTATTGGTCGTCACCCAAGAGCTCCAAGAACAAGGATAGAACGGGGTAGCTGAGTGCCTCCAAATATAAACTTGTCATTAGAGACTTGGAAAAGGTGTGGAGGATTTCTGCTGAGAAGCACTTCAGTGAACAGAAGGGGGAACCTTCCTGACTGTGCACATGGGGATGGTGAGTGTACTAAAAGATAATAAACATCACGTATTTTCAAAACTTAACAAATATAAAGGAATCATGATTTAGGTACAGGGTAATCATTCTTATCTAATTTAATGGCATGTGTTAAGGACTAAAAGTCAGGTAGATATTTGGGAATCCATCAGTAAGACCTATTTAGGATTTCATAATATTTGACAAAAATTTAGCAAATATAGAAATTGTACAGACTATTTTTAATTTTTCATTGCTGTTCTTATGACTAACCCTCAGGTGTACAAGACCAGTCTAAAAGCAGGAAACAGCTCTTTGAATGAAGTCCTTTGAAAAAGTGACAAAATTGGACATATTTATATATTGCAAGGTGAATCTTAAAATATGTGAAATCCCCTAACTCCAGGGATTGACAGTGGAAGCTCTTTAGGATAGACTACACCAGGGAAGTGACTATTTTTTGTTATTGTTAATCCTCACCCGAGTATATTTTTCCATAGATCTTTTTTAAAAAAATATATTTTATTGAGTTTTTTACAGAGAGGACAGGAGAGGGATAGAGAGTTAGAAACATCGATGAGAGAGAAACATCGATTGGTTGCCTCTTGCACATTCCCCAACCAGGGCCTGGCCCCGACCAGGGGATGAGCCTTCAACCAAGATATGTGCCCTCGACTGGAAACAAACCTGGGACCCTTTGGTGTGTAGGCCAATGCTCTATCCACTGAGCCAAAACAGCTAGGGCGAGAAGTGACAAATTTTTAAGTGGGCAGGAGAGAAGGTAGGATAACTGGGTCTGGAAGTGCCAGGTTCGAAGTTCAGTGTTCTGTTTTATGTGTAACTGCTTCTATGCAGTGTGGACTCCTTCGCCTGATTCCTCTCCCCATTATGTCTGGGTGATTCTGAGGGATGCTAGCTTACAGGTTCCAATAATCTGTGTTGCTAGTCTCTCAAGTCCCAGCCAGTTGCTGACCCAGGAGACTCTGACAGTGTCTGCTTGCTGTCCTTAATCTGCCTTCTGTGGGTGGCTACTGTCCTCTCTGTGCTTGCTCAGGCCATGAAAACCCAGACCCTTCCCTTATTCTCCAAAGTACAGCTAAGTCCAGGCTCTAGATTTTTATCCAGATTTGTGGAAACAAAGGAAAATTACAAAGTTGAAAAGAACAAATTTGATGTTACCAATATTGTTCCTGAAGTCCAGAAGTCATGGCCCTCCCTGGGAGACTTGTACAGGTCCCTTTTCTTTGGATGTCCCCACCTGACATCTTTTCTTGTTCCTGTAGGACATGCTTTTAGTGTTGTTCTTATAACTTGCAATCAAACTCTACTCTCTTCTCTAGGGCTCAATGGAAGGAAAAATAAAACATTTACGTTAAACAGGGATGACATTATCAATGTCACAGGGACGCTAAAGTTTTACATTACAAAGTTGCAAAACTTTTTGAAAACGTACATAATTTTTTTCTTAAACTTCTGGTGTTTATGAACTTAATATCAAAGATAGAATTTTGGTGCTTCCATTGGGCAAATATGTTCACTGACATGTTTTTTTTAAAAGCAAAAGCAGACTTCTACCAAGAATGTTTGCAAAATGCTGATGCTTTAAAATTAATAATCCCCTTGCTTCTGAACATTAAGCTTTACATATTTAAAAATGTTTTTCATTGATTTTTAGAGATAAAGGAACAGAGAGAGAGAAACATCATTGTGAGAATGTAACATCGATTCACTGCCTCCTACTGGGGATTTAGCCTGAAACTAGCCTGGGCATGTTTCCTGAATGGGCATCAAACTGGCAACCTTTTGGTGCATGGGATGATGCCCAACCAACTGAGCCACACCAGCCAGGGTAAGCTTTACATTTTTAGAACTATGGAAGAATTTTTGAAAAAATCCAATACCACCTTTCATATTTAATAAAACTATGGAAGTCTTGCATGAGGTTATGCTAGAATGAAATAAATGAGGATATGAAGTTTTTGAATCAATTTGTGTACAACAAGGCCACAGTGGCTCTTCTCAGAAAATATTAAATTATTTAAGAAGAGAACATCAGAGATGGAATCATGGCTGATAAAGTGTTTGCAACCTCATGCTTGGTTCATTTAACTGGTCTCTCTAAGGTTCTTACTTTCAGATCAGTCTCTCTGTCTCTCCCCTTTCCATTTCTCTCTCTCTAAAAATCAATAGAAAAATCTTTTTTAAAAAGTGGAAAGACAGAATGAGAGAAAATATTTGCAAATCATATCTGATAGAGACCAGTACCCAGGAAATATTTTTTAAAAAATATATTTTCTTGATTTTTTACAGAGAGGAAGGGAGAGGGATAGAGAGTTAGAAACATTGATGAGAGAGAAACAGATCAGCTGCCTCCTGCACACTCCCTACTGGGGATGTGCCTGCAACCAAGGTACATGCGCTTGACCAGAATCGAACCTGGGACCCTTGAGTCCGAAGGCTGATGCTCTATCCACTGAACCAAACTGGTTAGGGACCCAGGAAATATTAATGAGTCTTACAATTAAGAAAAGGACACCCAATTTTATAAGGGAAAAGATGTAAATAGACATTTCTACAAAGAAGATAGTGACCAAAAAGAATATGAAAAGGCGTGTAACATCGTTAATTATTAAGGAATTGCAGATCAAAACTACGAAATATCACTTCACATCCACTAGAATGGCTATAATTTAAAAAGTAGAAAATAACAAATATCAGTGATAGGAGGAGGAATTGGAAGCCGCATTCATTGCTGGCAGAAATGTGAAGTTGTGTAGCTGCTTGGGAAATTCCTTCAGAGGATAAACAGAGTTCTCACATGACCAAACAATTCCACTCCTAAGTATCTATCTAAGACAAATGCAAACATATGTCCATGCAAAAATTTGTACTCAAATGTCCATAGCAGTATTATTCACAGTAGTCCCAAAGTAGTAACAACCAAAATATTCATCAACAGATGTATCTAAAAGTAAAATGTGGTATATCCACACGAAAAGAACATTATTTGGCCAAAAGAAAGGTAATTTTGATGCAATTTTCCTCATGGCTAATCCTTGGAAACGTTATGCTAGGTGAAATAAGCCAGCCACAGAAGATTCCCACATGTAAGATTCCACTGCTATGAAGTGTCTAGAATAGACAAAATCATTGAGTAGAGTAGTGGTAGCCATGAGCTGTGGGGAGGGGAAGATGGGGAGTGACTAATAATAGATACTAGTGTTTTGCTTAGGGGTGAGAAAATGTTTTAAAATTGATTTTGTGACACTTGTATAATTTTCTAAGCAAACTACAATCTTCTGGTGTGTACACTTTCAAGGATGAATATTATGTCAATTATATCCTAATAAAGGTATGACTAAAAAAACAAATAAAATTTAAAAATTCTGTGATGCATGTTTAGGAAGCAAATTGAGAAAGAAAAGTCACAAAGTAGTTACCATAAAAGACAGAGGCAGGATTATCTCTGAAGCAGGAGGACATGTGATTGGCAATGGCACATGGGTGACTTCGAGCTAAAACTATTGATTACTTGATCAGAGTTGGACTTATGTAGCTTTCTCTTCTCTTCTCTCTCTCTCTCTCTCTCTCTCCTCTTTCTCTCTCTCATATTCATAATATAAAATTAACCCTCTTTACTATTTCTTAGTGTATAGTTCAGTGGCATTAAGTACATTTACATGGTTGTGTAACTATCACCACCATCCACTTCCAGAATGTTTTCATCATCTCAAACTGAA